CATTTTCTGCAATAAAATTAAAAAGGTTTACATTTTCTGCAATAAAATTAAAAACTTCAATACTTTTTTTTTTTTAAAAAAAAGGAATAAAAGTTATAGTAAAGACAAAAATAACATGTTATAATTTTAGGGAATTGTTAATAATTTTAGAAAAAAAAATATAAATTATTTGGTTCACATCTTAATACCACTTTTTGTTCCCTAATTTATGCTGCATTATCTTTAAAACATTCTTATAAAACCCACCCCATATTTGACACTATGTCACTTTTCTAAAATTCAATCTATTCTAAAATGCAAGCAAAGGACTCCCCAGATTTTATTTTGTCACTTTGAAGACAGAGGAAGCATTCCTACAGTTTGATATAAGTGCAGATGTAATTCCAAAAAGGTGTTTCAGAGTACCAGCTGCCTCTTTTCCTGGGATTTCCTGGTGGCTTTAACAAATTTCAGACTAGTGCTACATTTGCATCCGTGAGCTGAGAATTACCCACTGGTTCTCTTACTCACCATCATTTGCTTCATTTGAAAAAATATACTAAGCACTAAAATACATTTCTAGTTTACTGAAACAAGCTAATTTAAAGAGCTGCACTGGAAGTTACTGCCATAAATAGCAACATTTTTAATAAAGGAAATTCTGAACACTAATTATCTTTAAACAAAGTTTGGTTAGAGAAACATGATTACTTGAAATAATTCATATTATTTAATTCTGAAATATTAATCAGTTCCATTTTGCATTAATCAGAAATAATTCTGCCAGAAACAGTAAAACAATCACAGAAAGTGGTACAGTCAATGCAATTCTAAGGTCCTTGAATCTCAATTCAGTGAGCTAGCAACTAAGAACATCCAAAATAATAAAAGGCTAATGAGCTTAGTTTTCTAAACACATCTTATTATATTTTATAACATAGTATATTGGTCTGATTCAGATGGATACTTAACACTCAAACTTAATAGTTTAAAAATCCTTAAAGTAGATGCTTAAAAGTCCAAAATCAGAGAATGGGTAGAGTTACAAGACAAAATGCACCAACCAAGTTTCACTATTCCGGTTGGTTTTAAAGCAAGATCCAGGTATAAAAGCAGACTGATGTGTTTGCCTAACTTGTACAATTAAAGCTAGCTACAATTTCTGGACTAAAAAGCTCAGTCTGCTAGCTACATTTTATTATATATGACAGGAACAAAATGGAGTTAAATGAATCAATTAATTTAGATAAATAGAAAATGCCTGAACTAAAACAGAACTCCCCTAAAATGAGTTGAATCTGAACCTCTCTGATGCTTCATTTAGCACTGGGAAAAAGAGACCTAGGATAATGTATTTAAAAAGGACAGATTTCTATCTATCCTTTCTGAATAACAAAACCACTAGGAGAGGTGGGAAGGAGAGGGATTATGGGTATAGCTCCCATTGTTAACCACAGGGAATGGTTTTACTGGGCTTGTCATTTCAGAGAAGAATACTGATTATATCACCAGACCATTTCAGTGCCTAGTCCTCCCCAGTTCTAGTCTAGTACCATGACTACTACACCACATTGGCTTTCATTCTGATTCCTCTCCTTCCCAGGAGCAGGATCATGAGAAAAAGTCTGGGGAGTTCACAAGACCTTGAAGTGTAGCACTGGGTGTTTGTTTGAAAAATGCTGGATTTTCAAGTCTCTTTGTAATAGCTCCACAGCCATAATCAACTCAAATCCTTTCTAAGACTTTGGTACAAATTGGAAAAAAAAAAGAAAAGAAAAGAAAAGAAGGGCTTACTATTTCTCATTCATAATATTTTCCTAGGTAAGATTTTATAGGTTGCTTGCCTAGGGAGAATAGAATATTTTAAATGTATATTATACCCCCTCAAAAGAGTCTATGATGTGAAGGAAAAAAGGAAACAAATCAGTCCCATATGTGAAAGACTCTCCTGAAATTTTTACAGCTTTCTATGCTGTACCTCATCTTGCCCATTAAAAACACACGGGTATGAAATTATTTATTTAAAAAACATAAATTACAACCTCCTCTCAATAACTGAAATTGTCAGATTTGATCCCAAGTGAAAATTCTGGCTGCAAATTTCAGCTGGTTCGGTCAAGAATTACAAGAAAATTGAGATAAAAGAGGCATGCATACTACAAACACACCTATCTATGTTTCTTTTATAATTGGACTTCATCCCATGTAACTGCATATCCAATTTAAAAATGTCATCTAATTTTATGGAAAGAAAAAATATATTATAGTCATGATGATTCCTAATCTTAGTCAATGTGTTCAAATCCAGGGTGAAATCAGAAAGGGAAGGTAGCTCCAAATTGCCCTGAGGCTAAATCAGGAACCAAACTGAATTGGTGCACAATCCAGAAATTGTGGGAAGAGGGTATTTACATTGATTTCACAGAGACAGCAAACTGGGTTATAGAACAAAAGAGGAGGAGCAGGAGGAGGAGGAGGAGGAGGAGGAGCAGGAGCAGCTACTGCTGCTAAAAATACTTATTTTTACCCTACAATATTTTCAACAACAATCTTAATTTTTAAATATTAAGATAAGTGCTATCATTCAAGAAAATCCGAGATAT